GGAGAAGAAGGACGTAGACTGGGAGTTGGTCGACATGTCAGGTGCTGTTCTTCTGTAAGTTGATATGGATTTCCATTAGTGTACTACTTGACCTTCGTACAGGAGCCTCTCCAACTCTTCGCCCCTCCCAGTGGCCGCACTTATACGTTATATCGAAGAGTATGATTTACTGCGAGTCATGTCCAAGATCTTCTTGGACCCTACTATGGGTGCGAGAGGTATGTGCAAAGTGTTGCTCAGCGGATGTGTTCATTCACCATATTGATACTTCCAATTAACAGCTCAATCGTTTACTAATGTGCTTGAACTACTTGTTCATTGTACTACATGTGTCGCCCCCAACTGTCACTACGTAAAAACAGAAGCTTACATCAATGCGCTCCGACACGCACTCGAAAAGGATCAACTTTGGGCAGACACGTTAATAAGACTAGAACAAAGACAAAAATCGAGCGTGAAAAAGAGCGAAGGGGCGAAAGTAATACTGCAGAGGTGGTACATGCTTGGAAAGGAGATCGGCTTGGTCCAGAGACAGGCCACTCTGGCTCCTCCCGTGCCGTCCACATCTAGCCAACCAAAACCTGCCGATACCAAAGTAAGGGAGAGCGTGGATGGGTGTTGGAATACAGATTGCGAGAAAAATGGTGTTGTTGACGAAGCGGTCGAGTCCAAACTCCTTCGTTGCTCTAGTTGCAAGGTGGCACGATACTGCAGTGCAGTGTGTCAGACCAGGTACGTTCCATTTTTCTCTTTTCTCTGGTAATACTGATCTCGTGCCTGTATCAGGGATTGGAAGGCCGGTCATAAGGGCGAGTGCAAAGCGCTCAAAGCGAAAGCAGGATAGATCGATGTGGCGCAAGATTATGTTATTCAACTCTATCCCTCGTACCCCGTGTCACTTTGGCTTTTTGATGGATATGCTTTTTTTTTTATAAATGATGGATTGCCCCTGGGTTCTTTCCACATTTTTTTGAGAGCTGGTTCTAGCGTTCACGTGGTAAACTGAGCCCTTTCCCTGTGAATCCTGTCCTGATTGGTCCTCTGGTAAAGGCCATCAGATAACACCCCTAATAGCTCAAGGGGACGATAGGCTGAAGATTGAGCCCATTTTCCGGTTGTGATCGATGTCAAGGGTGCGCCGAGTCCCATGATTTGGTAGCGCCACTCGAATACCACTGACAGGATCTGGAAGAGGTGGCCGGTAATTGAGACCTCCGTCGAATTGGGATGAGGTATCAGAGGGAACAGGATCTAACTTGCCGTGGTAAGGCTGGCATCCGATTTTCTCGATCTTCTAGGCTCGATTTTGGGATGCCTGGAATGAATTGGGCGGTCGAATGAATGTCAAACCCTACGATGATACCTTTATGTTCGGTATGTTTGGCCGCTCCAGACCTGGCCTCTTCTCACTCAGTTTCTTGAAAAACATTCAAAACACAATACAGCAGATGTGCCGGATGAATGCAGAATGCCTGTGGAGGATGTACAAGATGGCGCCCACTGCTTCCAGATATCAATGGAGTAACGGCACACCATTAATCTCCTCATGAACTCTGGAATTTCATTCTGCCAAGACGAGCGTATATAAAGGCCGTCTACAATCTTCCTTTCTCCTCGCTGAGTGGCCCTATCTCTCCCTCCCCACCTAGCGTGCAACTAGCGAAATTGCAACTCTACAGTATGGAAAAGAGGGAATCATCGGCATCCAGTCATAATAATGACGAGAAGTCTCATATCTCTGATTTGGAGCACCCCGCACCGCCAATCTTGGGTAAGGATGGTCAAGCCGGCAAAGAACTTGATATCTCGCTGGCTTTACCCGGTATGCTCGGTGAACACGATGATGACGAGCTTGACCCTGCCGAGGCGCGAAGGGTGAAGGGAAAGCTGGATCGGAGGATACTCCCCTTATTGATGCTGTGAGTGATCCTGTCGGCTGAATATTGATGAATCTTACTAAGGAAACACATTTCTTAGTGTTTATACGCGTGAGTTGTCATTGCTCTTTCTGCTGGTGTAGGCCGAGTGTGCCCTCTGAGATGGACTATCTCAATTTGGCCATTGGGCGCCATTCAGTCCCAAACCGCAGTTGATCACTCGTTGGTGTTGTAACTCATTTAACTGATACGATTGACTTCTTTAGTCCAATTCCTCGATAAAAATACAATTGGTGCGGTGTCCATCTTGGGCTTCCTGCCTGACACAGGCATGACCGGGGAAGAGCTCAACAACCTCGGCACCTTTTTCTACGTCGGCTACTTGATCTCTCAACTCCCCCATTCGTATGCGTTCCAAAAGCTTCCTGTGGCCAAATATCTTGCGTCCCAGATGTTCATTTGGGCTGTACTCGTTGGTGCAACGGCTGCCTGCAAGAGTTACAGAGCACTCAGTACGTACAATGCTTCATGTCTTATGGGCTGTACTGAAGATATCGCCCTTACATAGTCCCTATTCGCATCCTCTTGGGCTTTAGCGAAGGATGCATTACGGCTGGTATCATGCTCATCAACTCGATGTTCTACACTCGTACGGAAATGGGCGAGCGTATCGGATGGACCTTCATGTGCAATGGCCTTGCCTCCATCATCTCGAGCTTTATTGCATTCGGAGCATATCATACCGAATCTTCCCGACCCGCCGTTCCTGCAACCGCAACAACTCCAGCAATCCCGGCGTATCATCCAAAGGTCGCACAATGGCAATGGTTCATGATCATCATCAGTTGCATGACATTTGTTACATTCATTCTATTTGGTCTCTTCTTCCCGGACTCACCTACGAGCGCCAAATTCTTGACAGAGGAGGAGAAAGTGGTTGTGGTTAAGCGGATCAAGGTGAACCAAGCAGGCATCGAAACTAAGGCTTGGAAGCATCACCAGTAAGTTGAATTATATTCGAAGCATGATACGGTTTGAACATATTGCTCTAAGATTCATTGAGGCCATCAAGGATCCAAAGGGATACATTTTCATGCTCTTTGCTGTTCTGGCCAACTTTGTGGGTGGCGCCGGTATCCAATACTCGTTGATCATCAAGGATTTTGGGTTCAACGTTATGCAAACTACTCTCTTGAATATTCCTTCTGGCGGTTGCATGATAATTTCTATCACGTTCTACATGTACATGCTTCGCAAGTTCCCTGTGAGTAGAGATCTCTTCATGGTGAATCATTCTGACTTATCTTCCTTTAGAATTCGCGTGGATGGATCTCAGTTATCTCTTATACGCCTGCCATCATCTGTACCATCCTCATGATCACCCTTCCAAACACTCGGGTCGGTCTACTCATCTGCTTCTACGGCTTCCGTGTGTATACTCTCATTTGGACAATACGATTTGCACTGATATCACAACTTGTAAAGAACTCGGAAGCACTGCTGCTACGGTTCTCTCCCTCTCATGGATCACAACGACCACCTCGGGACATACCAAGAAGCTCACCATGCACGCCATGTGGTTGATTGGTTACTCTGTCGGCCAAATGATTTCTCCTCAATGGTGGAAGAACAAGTACAAGCCACGCAATCGCGTCCCCTGGGGTATTCTCCTTGTATGTTTGAAATCGCTTTTACTTGGGTGAAGCCCACTAACGCATAATCTTATAGACCTCTTTCTGTTGCCAAGTTATCATCATCCTCTTCCTTCGTTGGTATCTTAACAGGCGCAACCAGCGTCGGGATGCTGCACTTGCTGCTGCTACAACCGAAGAGGAGAAGGAAAAGTATGGAGAGTATGGCTGGTTAGAAGTACCCGATCCAAAGACGGGGGCGATGACCAAGGTCAGAGTGGAGAAACGATTCTTGGACCTGACGGACTTTGAAAATTTGAACTTCCGCTATGTACTCTGAGGCCTTTCGCCACGGCATACATGGTCGCATGTCCCAATTGGATATTTGACCAGATTCATGGATCGAATTGGGTTCAAGTACAAGACAGTAATGAACCTCTTGTACCACTTAGCTGTCAATCTGTTTGTAGTATGAGACCGTACATGATCGAACACGAATAAACAACAATCAATCAAGGAAGAAGGAAATTGTCCGATTGAGCTGGTATTTCACAGTGGCGCAAAATTTGGACATTGAGTTGCAGAAGACCCAGGTGGTACACCACGGTCAGAGTCCAATTTGGCAACCACAACTACGGCTCAGTTTTTCACAAATGTGCTTTCTCTCGGTTCGGAATGGACAGGGTTGTGGGAGAGCACTTTTTCCTTTTGTTGTTTCTTTCTAGCGCAACTCAACAGAGGATTCAATAGCAATAGACGAACCAAATGCAGTCGGGCCAACCTTCAGACATGTGACAGGTACACGAATAAACGTATCCCTATACATTTTAGGGGCGTCTTGTTGACAGTACCCTCCGCGAGGTGGTCAATAATTGAGCCACCTAACGACTTGGCGAGCTCTCGAAGATAAGATCGAACTGAGTGGGCTGAGGCGACCGCTCGTGATATTTGACCCGCTGGAATCGCATTTCAATGCCTGGTTATGAATGCGATCGAGGAGAATATCAAACCCTGCAGAGCGGTTGTATGGGCGGGTGAGCATGGCCGCTCATACTCGGCATTCTCTTCCTCAACTTCTGTGCACGCCTTCAATGCACATCGATATGTAAAGGAAGGACGCAGAATATCCATAGAGAATAGACGAGACTATGCCAAGAAATTTGGACCTTTTGAAGGTGCAGGTCACGATGAGGCACAAATATCTCCATTCCATCTCACAGCATATAAGGAGTCCACCTAGCTCGCCAGTGTCTCGCTGCGTGACTTCCATCCGCTCATCTACCATTTCATCCCCTCTTGTCGCTCGGTACCTTAGGGGAACGAACGCAGGAGGAAGTTGATCCACTATAGTCCCGAATCAATATACTTGTAAGTTAATCTGTCTTTCTTCAGCGTAGAACCTCTCTCTGACGGTGCTTGTTGTGTACTCAGAAGAGATTTGACAGTAGTACTACAATATGGAAAAGAAGCACTCTTTGGCATCTAGCCACAATAGTGACGGAAAATCACCCATCTCCGAATTGGAGCCCGCTATCTCGTCAACTCTAGGAAAAAATGGCGGACAAATGAGCAAACAACTCGACGTATCGTTGGCATTACCCGGTATGCTCGGTGAGCACGACGACGAGGAGCTTGATCCCGTTGAGGCAAGAAGGGTTAAGAGAAAGTTAGACCGAAGGATACTGCCGTTATTAATGCTGTAAGCAAATTTCATGCATTTGGAAGTAATTACTAATAGAGTCTATTCCACAGTGTCTATACGCGTGAGTAGTTTTTTCCACGTGATGGCAGATTTCGTACATTCGATGACACGAGGCGCAATCTGATCATTGAACCTATTCAATCCCCCTTTCAATCTTGTTCT